AATGGAACAGGGGCAGGAGCTGGGCAAGCAGCCAGGGCAGAGGGGCATGGAACAAAACCACAGCTCATCTGGGGGACACGGGGGGGTGGGGGTAGCTCCTGCTGCTATGCACCGCTTATCCAGAGGCAGTGCAGCTCCTCCGTCCTGTGCCCCCCTCCCCACCCCAACTGGGCAAGTGGCAGCAGGGCATAGCCCCCGCTCCCAGCCGCACCTGCTCAGAGCACAGCACAGTACAGCCCCAGCCCCATGCAGATCTGGGGGCACCTCCCCCCCCCGCCCCGTACCCTCCCAGATGAGCAGCGGGAGCGGCGACAGGAGCTGCCGGATGAACAGTTCCCAGACCAGCAGCATGCAGTGGCACCCCCTCCCCACACCCCCAGATGAGCTGCACCTTTGTCCTGCACGCCCCCCGCCCAGCTGGGCAGCACTTGCCTCAAGCCCTAATCCCTCCTTTGCTACAGGGGTGTTGATTTGCCCACACCCCTTCCTTCTCCCCTCCCCTTCCAGACTTACGAGCTGGATGCAGGTCTATCGAGCATTGTAAAGTTGAAGTACGCATCAGAACCTCGGAGCATGATGTCAATTTATAAAGGTTGTAACAGCAGTTAGTCATAAATCAAGAAGTCATAAGTCGAGGACTGCCTGTAATCGAGTCTGCTCTGATGCGCTTCCAGCGTGTTGAAGCAGGCTCCCCGCATGTCTGTACGAACAGGCCAAAGCCACAACCTACTACTACATTTAATCAAACCAAATCAACCCATCCCATTAAGCCCTCATTCTCTTACTTCACTGCCCCTCTCTAGCTGTAACTACTGTTGCTTCCACTGCTTCTGCTCTCTACCACTAGAGTGGTTGGCCTTTTTTACAACAAGAGTACACTGCGATCATATTTAATTTATGGTCACTGTAACTCCCAGGTCCTTCTCTGCAAAACCACAGCCCTAGCCAGTCATTCCCTGGTCTGTATTGGTGCATGCAATTATTCCATCTCAAGTGCAGGACTGCACTGTTCACCCTCCACCCTCTCCATGGCTCCCCTCACACAATAACTGTCAAGCCCTTCCAGCCCCTCTGGTGGATCATTAGGACAGAAACAGGAATGTTCCCTTATGTATAGTGTTATCTACAACCCTTCCTGGCAGCTCAAGAGGTCCCATCACAACTTGGAGTATAAATTATGTGAGTTGGTCTTTAAGTAGAGGTTGGTGCTTAGATAGGAGAGACATAAATAACTCCTCTCATTGATGGAACTCAATATGGAACAACTAAAGTGTAAAGTTTAGCAACACCACCCCAGCGAACCTATCGGTGTCATGAAGAAAGGATGCAGAACTCTTAAAACGGCACTTTGCTTAATGAAACTAATCATTTAATCAGAGTTCTCTCAAAGGAAAAAAAAAATCACTGCAGGAACTACCAGCCTGCCAGCAACTCAATTAAGAGCATTTACAGTTTTTATAGGCAAGGAAGAACTAATTGGCCTTTTCTCTAAAATGATTCTGAACAAAAAGCTTACTCACTGTGAGGGGCAAAGCAGGCTAACCAGCTTCTTCTCTCCCTGAGGGGCTGATACAGAAAGAGCAGTTTAGCCAATTGCCAAGAATAGCAAAGAGTAAGGAGACCACAGAAGAGAGAGGGAGAGACCATCACATCTTCCCCCAGGGGACTGACATGCAATACATTTTAGCAAATGTAGTTTTCATATATTTCCATTATGTTTCACAAAATGAAATACAGCCTCAAGCTGTGTAGCAGCCTGTGCTGAAAAGGCCAAAATTCCTTGATGTAGAAAGACCTTAGGTGAGATACTTAGATAGCTGAGGTGCCAATACTTTGGTATTTAACAGCCTGGCCTAACAGATGCTGATGAAGACACTTGAGATAACAAAATGCCTTCTACTCTAACAGCTGCAAAAACAAAGTATGCTTTGAATATAAAATTCATTTGGAACGTCTGCATTGCAAACATTTGCCATGCTTGGCAAATGAAATGCCATATTGGCATAGTAAAAATTGGTCAGTTCTATGTTTAAGCTAGCTGGAGTTAAAGGAATTTGTTTTACTTTTAAGTCCCTTGGTGAAAAGACAGCTCAAGAATCTGGTGGTCTGAAATCCTGTTCCTTAAAAGTTATCACAGTAACAATCACTAAGCTTTGAATATCTGCCTGTAGTGACTGGATTTTGTCCAAGATAATCCCTAAAGAATAGAAAGCAGCTTTTATTATCTACATTAAAAAAAAATAAAACATTTTTTTAAAAATCAGAGAACTTGAACAGCTCCAGGATGAACTCCAATCTGTCTGTGTGTTTGAGTCTCATAAACTTGTCATTCAAACACTACTTGGAATCCTTCTATCTTTAGCAATCATCAGTCTGGCTCTAGGGGCAGCACCTGATATTACAGTACATCTGAAGGGACAAGATATCAGCCAAGGTCTTCTGCTCTGTGGTTCATAACCTGGGAACTGCCTATGTGGCAGCCTGTCATTACTGCAGGCTGAGATGCTTCAGCTGCAAGCCACTTGCTATTAAAAGCAATTAACAGCATTTTCTGCTCACACTTTTGATTCATATTTATCTCATGACACTGAGTTTCTGACTATAGAAGTCATTTATTTAACAAGAATTTGGACGTTTTTGAGAAAGTTAAGGTTATGTCTTCAAGTAGGCAGGAAAATAAAACAAGCTTGTTTGTTTTATTACAGACTGTTTTAGATTCATTCCCTTCTACACACATTTATTCTTGCTGCGTGGTTATCTTTATGTGATGTAAATTCAAATATAAAACGCGTTAGGTTACTAGGGTTTATCTGAAATTAACAGAATGAAATTCAACAAGGAAAACTGCAGTCTTACATTTGGGATGGAGCATCAGATGCACAAATACAGACTGGAGATGGAATGGCTAGGATGAAGTACTGCACAAAAGGACCTAGGGGTCACAGTGGTCCATAAGCTGAATAAGCACCAACTGTTGTTGCACAAAAGGTCCATAGCAGACTAGGCTGTATTAATAGGAACATTACTTGCAAGTTAAGGGAAGTGATTCTCCTGCTATACTTGGCATTGGTAAGACCTCACTTAAGAGTACTGTGTCCACAAAAGTACCTCTCACTTCAAGAAAAATGTAGACAAACTAGATAAGGTCCAGGGGAGAGCAACAAAAATGAGTAGAGGACTCGGAAACATGACTCACGAGGATAGGCTGAAAGAACCAGGATTATTTAGTTTGGAGAAGAGAAGACCAAGGGTAGATTTGACAGCAATCTTCAAATTGCCTGAAGGACGGTTTATCCATGGAGATAGACTGGGGTGGGCAATTATTTGGGCTGGATGGCCACTTAAGGAGTTTTGGTGAGCTGTTGTGGCCTGGGGAGGAGGGGCAGGGTAGGGGAGCAGGAGAGGTGCTGACCCAGCATGACCACCGCATTGCACCTACCCCATGCCCAGGGACGGTGGGACTGGCTGCACATGCCATGGCCTAAGCTGCCCCCTGTACCTGGGCCAGGCTGAAGGCCCCACTGTGAGCCACATAGAATTCCTTGGCAGGCCAGATCTGGTCCACGGGCCATATGTTGCACACTCCTGAGATAGACTATTCTCTACTGCAGCAGTGGACAGGACAAGGAACAATGGTCTTAAACTGCAACAACAGAAATTTAGGCTGGATATTAGGAAGAACTCGATCACTATCAGGGTACTCTAGCATTGGAACAGGCTAATCACAGAGGTTACAGAATTGCCTTTGTTGTGTGTTTGTAAGAGCAGATTAGACAGACACTGCACTGGGGTAGTTTAGTCTGGGACAATTCTGCCTTAAGCAGGGGTTGGACTAAATGCCCTCATGAGGTCCCTTTCAATCCTACTATTCCATAAGTTTATGAATAGGCCCTTTTTCATTGTCTGAAGAAAGGCAGAAATTTACATGCATTGAATGGAGGAAAGGATTGGGTTCAGAATCAGCATTTTCTGCAAGTGTTTCTGTTCAAAAGCCTGAGTTCACATTTTTCTAAAAAAACATGATCAAAGCCAAGACTTTCCAAATGTAACAGAGGTGCACTTAACTCCTTAATGCAAAGAATCTCTTACCTTCGAACGGGCTGTGCAATTTTACTCCTGGGTATGCTACTGCCACTTATGGCCAACGACGGTCTTGGAAGAGCACTGCGTCCAACAATCCCTGCATTGGCAGTCTTGTTTGGCATTGGGATTCCAGTGTTAGAATGCAACTGCAAGCTACTGGACACAGGAATATTACTGCTGCCCTGCACAGTTGGGCTTACATACGCTGTAGCTTTCAGAGGCTGTCTGACAGACACTGGAAAATGTCCCACACTGTGAACTCTATGCTGCAGTTGTCCTGGAGATGGAACTGCAAAGAGGGGAAGAGAAAAGAATTAAAACAGCATATTATGTTATAATGTCAATCATATATCAACACATACTATATTTCTATGCAACCTGAAACAGTGGTCAATGCACGAATTTGAACTTTTACTTCAACCAAGCCAACTGTAAATGGATTTAAAAATTAGATGTACAGATATACAAAATGTGTGTGAAAGTCTGGCTGAAGTACACAATTAAGAACACACCTATAAACAATAAAACATCCTGCCTCGTCACCAGAAAAACCAACCACCTATTCTTCCCATCTTCCTCTGCTCAGCAGTGTTTCAGTATTTATTCTGAGTAAATAAAAGTCATTCTCCATTTGGTGTAATTATAGTTTTAACAGGGCAACCTTGCCTTGCAAAACTGCTAAAATAATAATCAATTCTTTTTCTCACATCACTACAAAGGTCAGTTGCTGTACTTAGTGCAATACTTCATATGCTCTCTCTCATACAATAAAGACAATTCTTTGGCATTACAAAACCATTATTTGTGTCTATGTTTTATATGTAAAACAGATAAAAGACTAAAAAAGTTTCTTGAATGTAATAACACAATCCAGGTATGCTTGTCATTTCATACCAGTGCTACAGTATCCAAAAGCTTTATATAGAGATTTATTACATGACTCTGCCCTCTAGTGTACATCACCTATGTTTTACAGTCCACAAGACAGAAGCTAAGTACCAAAATGCCTCAAGTGCTTGAGCCATGTAGTTCACATCAGCTGAAATCATTTGAAATCTTCAAAAAAGAAAATGATAAATCTACCCTTCAATCACCATAAATACACGTTCACTGAAACGGACTTGACTGGGACCCAGGCTCCCTGCCTTCCAGGTGAATGCCCTGCCCTGGTCACCAGGCTAGAGAGCTATTCTGATTCTCTTGCTCAGTAGCTAATTAATTCATCCTTAATGATGCTCTTTTCTTCCCTTGGAACAAAGTGGTACAGGTTCCAAGGGAGAGACTGACAGTGAGTGTATGCTTTAAGACAACATTTATCCAATGTTCTATATCAGTATTGCTGATCATTAAAGTAGTCCATGTTACATTTTCAGTTGTAGTGTCGAAGCTGAAAAGGTACAACCAAAATAGTATAGTACATTATGTCATGCAGTTACTTTACTGGTGCATCCTTCAGGGAAAAAAATCTAACATGAGTAATGGATTTTTTTTTTTTTTTTTTTTAAACTTCCATGTTGGATGTATGGGGACTAAACAAAGCATGGTGGAGTTTTCATTACTAAGAAACATGATTGGACAGAAATTCTTTTCAAAAGCAAGAACTTGGAAACTTCTTAGATGGTTAGAAGGGCAGCAACAAAAGTGGTTAAGGCCTTCTAACAATTTTTCCTCAAGTAAGTAACAAGATATTCACAATTTTGTGTAAATATTTCACAATACTGTAGGGGCTTTCAGCACAACAGAGTAAAAGAAGCATACTTACTACAAGATTGCATTCTTGAAATCCCGTTACCAGCTCCATGTAGATTGGAATCGAAGCTCTGACTATTCCTCACAGTGACTGGAGAACTTGCATTGCTATTAATGGTAGGAGTACTTGGCATCCGAGCTAGGTTAGGCATGCTTCTTCGGAGTTTATCTGAAGCAAAAAACCCAAATCCACAATGACCACACTCATGCCATTTCTATCAAACACTACAACCAGCTACTGACTTTTGTAGACAGGGAAAATTAAAGCCAAATTATTTCAACAAAAAGATGTTTTCCCCTATGGGGCAAAATAGGAATTGCATATGGACTAGTGTGTTAACTCTTCTAACACTGTAACATAAATGATTTACCTAGTATTCCAAATCAGCAACTTGGATGGGCCCAAGTTTGCCTGTTGTTTATATAGTAAAAGCTGTGTTAACCAGCATTTTAGTAACTGGCCCACACTACTAACTAGAATTTCCGGCCAGCTGGACTGGGGGGGAAAGCTCACACACTGCTGTCACCCACCACCCTGCGCTGCTGCTGCTCTGCCTGCAGCCACCGCCACAACCCCTGCTCTATGTGCAGCTACCGCCACCCCCACCCCATGTGTGGCTGCCACCACCTGCCAATACAGAGCCCTTACTGTATATGGATTCTAGGTGCCTAAACCTGGCCAAATTAATAACTTAAACTTTACTTGTACTAGCAGAAGTAAAAGCCATAAAAAAGAAGAAAAAAAATCCAAAGCCAATAAAGCATTTATGAGCAGGGATCCTGATTTTCTCTGATTTAAAAAAAATCCCTAATTTTCGGTTAAAAAACATAACCCCCAAATCCACATTTTTCCGTGATTAAAATAAACACCACTGTGTATGTGTGTGTGTGTGTTTCATTTTAATCATGGAAAAAATGTGGATTTAGAATTTTTTTTACAACAAAAATTGGGTATTTTAAATCAGAGAAAACCAGGATCCCTGTTTATGAGGAAGCCAAAGCCCTGAATCATGAGATCTCTAGATACTTTCCAAACAGCAAGACAACTACTTCTCTACCACAATGGAATTACAAACACTTGAATCCACTTATAGGCAGACAAGGTTCTTTGGGTAAATCTGCTATCTTTTATTAGACCAATTCAAATAATTGGAAAAATTCTTCTTTGCAAGCTTTTAGGTATAAATACCCTTTGTCAGGCGGAGGAAACATCTGCAGTTGGTGTGTGCTCTCCCTGTATCCACATATCACACTCACCGATGGTGGCTCCAAGAATTTCCTAACATACTGGTATACCCTAGAACTGCCTTAATCTTTTTCAAAGTCATATACTAACAGCAAGGTCAGAGTCATCCTACAGTCAATGAACATACCCAGGTCTCTCTCTTCCTCAGTTGTCTTCCAGTCTAGGAGTCCCATCTTCTATTCAAAGTCTTTTCCACTGATTCCTAGATACCCAACATTGCACTTCCTATTGTTAAACTTCCTATGATTTCTAATGTGCCATTCTACAAGAATATCTAAAACTTCCTGAAAAATAATCCAGGAAAATTTTCTATCTCAGCAGTATCCCCCAGTTCAGTATCGCCTACAAATGTTGTGAGGTCACATCTACTTCCAGTACTAAGGTGGCTGATTAAAAATGTTAAATAGGACAGGTCCAAAGACAGATACCCAAGGAACAAAACTGGTAACTGCTTCCCAGACTGATATCTCACCTTTCAAAGTAACCCCAGTTCCTAATACAATCTACTGATCTCTCTTTAAGCCAATGCTTTATGCACCTCAAGATTATATTGATCTCCATGCTCTCCAGTAACTTCCTATAAGGCATGGCACAAAAAGCTTTGTTCATACCTAGGTAAATTAAATTTGCTTTATTGCTCTTATCTAAGAAAGCAGTTATCTTCTCATAGAAGCATATTAAATTAGTCAGACATGATCTTCCTTGGATAAAAACTGCACTCTTCTATTTACTTCCTTATTTTTTATTATTCTTCAGTATCTGTTCTATAACCTTACATACTACTGAAGTCAAGCTAGCAGGCCCGTAATGGTCTGTCAAATTATCCCTCTTTTTTGAATGCAGGCATTACATCTGTTATTTTCTATTTACAGGGTACTATCAACAAATTGACAGATGCACTGAAGAGCTGTGCTAAAGGAGCTGCTATTTTACATGCCAATTCTTTCAATATTCTGGGATGGAAATTATCCAGACCCTCCAATTTTGTGTCAAAAAGCAATTTAAATTTTGCTTCCAGCTCAGATGTGATAAATTCCATTGACATTTGGTACTCAACTACTCTCTTTAATTACAAATATATACTTACTGAAGATGCAGGCAAAGTATTCACATTCGGTACCTGGCTCTGATTTACCATCTTCAAGGTCTTCTACCCTGGCCCCACTCCTTCCCTCCTGGTTTTCTTCTAATTTGTAGGACTGAAGAAGCTTCTTCTATTTAAAATTCTTCACACAATGTAACCCAGCTAAGCCTGTGACCATTCTCTCTTTGCTCCCACATTATTTGACTACAGAAACATATCCGTCCTTGCTGATCAGTCCTATTTTCCATTCTACGTAGATCCTCACATTATTCTTAATGGCTAGTTAGGAGATGCCTGTTCATCCATATAGGTCTGTAGCCTCTCTCAACAGTTTTTGAGAAACAAGATCTGAAAAGCATTAATACTTATTTCATGGCGCTTCTACATCCAAGTCCTTTAGCTCCCAAATTAATTCATTCAGACTCCTTAACTAATTTTCTTAGTTTCTCAAACTACCCCTTCTGAAATTCCTTGTAGAACTAGTCTCATCTAGCTTGCAATATAAACTAAACTCATTAATTTATGATCACTTGATTCCAGATTACTTCCCACAACCAATTCTAGCAAATTCCCTGTTACTTGCCAAACCAAGATGGCATTGCCTCTCATTAGGTTCACTGACCATTTGATACAGAAATGTACAAGCTAACTCTTCCAAAAATATCTGCACCCTACCATTATAGATAGTGTTTATTGTCCAGTCTATAGCAGGGAAATTGAAGTCTCCTGTTGCAACAAGAAGCCCCTTCTTGCCTGAATTCCCCCTCCCCCACTTTGTTCATTCCTTTTTCCTTCTAAGTATTGGCAGAGACCTAGCACACTCGTTGCATGGATGGGGCAAGGCTTAGAGCAAGCCACAAAGCTGAAATGGCTTTCTGTAGGAGAAACCTACAAACTGCACCTACATATTGATTGACTTAAGCATCACTAAAGAAAGCAAAAGAATAACATATCCACTTCAAAGACTGTAAATGTATTCTGGTGCTAACCTAACTCACTTACTGTCCCCAGTAGCTTGTGATCCTCACTACCTCACAGTGCATTTTTATATTTCATCTGTCTCATCTTTACCCTGGCGTTCAGTATTTTATATGTTATACCTTTTAACTTTTAAGAAATGTATTTTTCTTGGAAGTAAAATCATACCTTGTATTACTAGAACTATTATTGCAAGAATGCACTGGAATTGTAATTGCTGGAACTGTATTGCTGTATTTGGCTGGTCCCCCTGAGTGAATGTATATATGAATCAGTAGATAATTGAAGACAAAGCGAGAGCCTCTGGTTGTTAATTGACAATAGTCTAGCTAGAGGAACTTACCATTACAAAACTCTAGCCTAAAATGACTTGTAGAATAATCAAGCCAAAGAACTGATTCCTGGAACTGAGCACCCACCCTATTGACTATTTTTGCAACCCTTAACAATACCATTATTAAATTAATCAAAATCACAAACTGACTCCTGACACTGCACGTATGAACAGGCAGAGACCCCTGTGACTAACAGCTGTCATGCACTACTCAAGACCCAAGTGGGACAGCTACCTCTGAATTAGGCAGCCAAGATAGTTCTGGGGGATCACACTAGTCTGCCAAAAAGGGATAAAAGGCAGTGAAGCGTGACCCTCAGTGGTGCCCTCTCATCCAGCACCTGACTTACTGAGACAGAAGGACAAGCAGGCAACCCCCTTCTGGAGCAGACATCACCTTGAAGGAAACTGACCATAGACAGCAGACTCCAGGACCGCAGATAGGTAGATATACTGACACCAGTGCTCTCACAATCACTACAGCAGCTACTACATACTAGACTACATGGGTTTAAATGACACAGGTTTGAAGGAGTGCGAGTGAGTGAGTGTGCACGTGCACTAAGGTGACCAGTACACTTCCTAACTCAAAGTTTGCATTTATGATTTTATTACTAATTTCACATCACCCACACTAAATTAGAATTTATTATGATCCTGTGAGTTGGTCCTTTGTATCCAACACTGTAATTACACAACTTCCATTATTATTAAATTTTTCCAGGACCTGATAGAGATCTGTCCATTTCCAATTCCTATATCTTTAATATTTTACTTTCTTACAATCAACCACTTCTTTAAATATATAGTGTTTTCCACTACTTTTAGTCTTGTTTCTAGCTTTCCAAAACAGACAGCTGCTGTGGCTTGGGCTCCAGCCCCTACCCAGGGTTGAGATCATAGCTGCAGCTGTTGCCTGCTCCCCACCACCACCTCCATACCTTGCCATCTCTCCACTGCAGATTCTTCCCCATCTACCTCCCCACACAGCCTCTGCTCCCCTGCCTGCCCCCTCCCTTCCCTTCTTACCCTTGTTTTGCACCAGCAGGCTCCATCCATGCTACAGCCTAGGGCACTGAGCACACCCCCAGCCTGGCCCCATAGCAGTGACACAGAGCCCACATGGCTGCTGCAGGAGCTGGGGCTGTACTTAGTGTCCCAGGCTAGAATGGGGATGGAGCTTGCTGACACAAAGCAAGAGTAAGGGGGTGAGGTAGCAGGGAGCAGAGGCTGGGGGGGTGGGGTGGAGAGGGAGAAGCAGAGGCTGGGGGTAGGACCTCAGGCTGTGCAGAGAAGGGCAGGCAGGGGGCAGAGGGGGCAAGGGGGCATACACAAGCAGGGAGCAAGCTGCTTGACCTCCCCACACCACCTGCTGCCCACACTGCCTTCCCACATGCAGCAGTGGGGAGGGGATGAATTACAGGCAACCCTTCAATAATTAGATTCTATACATGGAAAATTATAACAAAATTATAAATCTTCCATGTATAAAGTCTAATTATTGGGGGGTTACCTCTGAATCTAAAA